CCCTCGTCTGATGAGTTCGACGTACTGCAGTTTAAATTTACCTACGCAAAACTGTACAGTTCGATTCGATAGGTCCGAGGAACCATAAACGCTGGTATTCCATTGTGTCATAGAGAGTTATAACTTATGACTTTGAAAATATAGTCTTCCGGAGGTGCTAAATGAGAAAATCCAGTGGTTGAGGAGACTCTATGAGTGAAAGTGTAGAATAAGTCATACCATAAAACACAAGCTGTCTCATCTGAGGGAACTTGTCATCAATATCGGACGATTTTACGACATATTTATAGGACCAAAGGAGGGACAGGTATGGCCTCAGTAAACAAGGACATTGAATAGGCTTGAATGAAGAAGACCAAAGCTGTTAATGGAGAAATTCTGCAAAAAAGTGGAAGGCCGTCATGAATCGTTATAATTCAGCGAATCCTCGCTTACGCTTCTTCTCAATGCTCGTTTCCCATCGAATTCTATACCATGTTAATCTACTTGCGTTGGCCTGCAGACTGTCCTGTTTCCTCTGGAAAAGTACCGCGGACTGACTGACTGGACAAACAACTGGTTTAAGCCCGTTAAGTCTGTACAACTTCAAAGAGTTGCAAATGTGCCATATTGCAGACTCAGTGCGATCTACGTGAATCAAGTAGACTTTGGATATTTTTCAGAACTTGAAAAATTCTGCGTGGGCAACGTTTATTCGGCAATGAGAAAAAAATGCTGACGTGTCTGCCAAGATTTTCAGACTGATGATTTCTTATGCCGCAAATCGCACCGCCATCAGGCAAGGAAGCTTCGGCTATCTTTTAAACAGGTGTATGAGTGTCCACCATTCTTTGGGCATTTCGACTCCATACCAGAAGAAACGGACCGGGTGCCTACCGAGACTGGCTACCATCATTGGATCCTTTAAACATGTCCTTTAAACAAGGGCGTGTCCGCATTAATATTTTAGACTGACTGACTTCTGCAGGGAAGTTGTAGCCGAGGTAATCGCCATAAAGGTAGTCAATTGCCGGCACTCTAGTTTATTATCTAGCAGAAGGGTAATTCTCTGACAGCCAAATCACAGTCAGATCTTTATCATCGCTAATGGTGCGACACAAAATGGTCAATGAATGTCTGGCCTTACTCTGGGTACCTTTCTGATTACTTTCAAGTCACGCTGAATCGGGTTGCTTGCCTATTGACTTGGCTAGACAGAGCATCTTTAAGGTTATCTCTTCTGATAAAAAAAAGTATAAGACTAGTTGTGGTACCAGTGGACTTTTCCTAGATTGATGGGATTTTAATCGGCTCAGCTTGCGCTATGAGATGGCCACTAAATGATTGGTTCTTCTGGGTGATAGTTGACAGCCGGCTATCAAGGAGCTTCTTCAGTGGGCTGGGCAAAAGTTCTGGCAGGGATCCGGACAGCGCGCGGTTCATCAGAAACCAATGCGTTACGCCTTATTATAATTATGAGGTTACATTGCCCTAGCTACGTGGAAGATGACATTTGCAAGGCTGAAGTCTTACCAAAACTTCCCAGGAACTTAATTGGCTAGAAATTAGCAATCTAAGTATGGACTTTATTTTCAGTAGTATAATAATAAAGTTTTTATACGGCTATTGAAGTCATCACATCAGATGATAGGGAATAGTGTATAAATCAAAATCCTAATTTTACACTGTAAAGAATAATTCTTATATATTTACATATATTTTTTTTTTATGTACTCACCCTTGCTAACCGATTGGCATGTCCACCTCTCGCATCTGTATACTCCGAACCAATAATGAACTCGTGCGACTTGTATGCCAATTCGGGACATTTTTTTCGCCTAGGTAACGGTGGCTCATTCGTTGGACCTGTTAATGAAGCTTAAGATAGTTTTGAATAGTAACTGAAGTTAAGCGTTCAAGCACATTTTAGTTTTCATAAAAAGTTTTACAAATTTTTAAATACTTCTACATATTTATGTACATATATAAGTAGTTGTAAGTAGCGTAAGCGCATAAACTTTAAATTAATTTAATACATAATTTAGTTATGCAAAGAGTTCAAACTCACCGATAAATTGACTGGGATTGGGCGCTGGTGCACGACGCACCACTTCAGGCCGCGAATTGCCAGTGAACTCATGCCAGCGATAAGTGCTCCGATACTCCGAATGGAGCTGCTGGAAATGAATAAATTGAAAGTGTAAGGAATTAATTTGGATGTTGTAAGTACTTTATGCTTAAAATTACGGACTTATAGTACCATGGTGCCAACCAAAAAAATGGTGGCTAATATTTTAATTTTTTTTTTCCATAAAATGATGTGAAATTCCATGAAATCCATCATATAAATCAAAAAGTGAATTTTGAATTTTTTATTAGTTATGACTTTTTGCATTTCAACGTCTGTTTGCATTTCAGGTGACGATATACCTATTTTCAGCAGTAAAACCACCAATAGTTTTTCAAAATAGTTAATCTCTGGTACTTTATCAAGTGTGCCCGATTTTTAAAACATTGTTTGGGTATTTGATTATCAAAAGTATTCGACACTTCGCATCACACACATTACTGTCTACATACTTTAGGTTCATGTGCATTGCAGTGTAAAATTTTACCCCACGGACCCCAATGACAATTCATATCACACAAAAAAACACTAAAACGTTAGTTAACTTCCATCCATGAGTTGTAGTCATCCAGTATAGACAAAATAAAATCTGTTTTCCTTTTATCCCCAAGACTTACAAATCGAAGTAGGGTTTCACATAACTTTGTGCAAAGTGCAATATGAAATTACTCAAGGGGATGACAGCAACACTAAAATCGGCTGAAAAAATTTGCTTTCCTTTGGCGACTTTCCAGTTTTTGTTTATATCTTTTACCAATGTATTTGGAAGCCACAAACAGCACAGACAACAACGCTTAATGGTTAGCCATTGCGGTTGACAGAGAGGACATAAGCGAACACGAGGCCTTTCAGCAGCGTATAAACACATTCAAGCACATACACAGAAATANATGTGTTTGATTTGTTTAAAATTTTTAGGGTTGATGGACAAACATAAGTAATAAATAAATATGAAATTTGAGCTTGAATCATACATTTTTTAAAATTTTACAGCACAAAAACCAAAACAAATCGATTTAATAGTTTTCCAAATATCTCGAGAACGGGGCGCGGAAAAAAGTTGACAAATAATCAAAATGCTCTTTTTTTCTTGAAAAATTTTTCACATACAAATTTTTTGATAAACAAATTGGTTTCTGAAAATATGCCATCTCAAAAAAAAAATAAAATACTCTATGAAAAGAAATATTTTTTTTTAAATTTTTTTTTTCTTGAAAAATTTTTCACATACAAATTTTTTGATAAAAAAAATTGGTTCTTGAAAATATGCCATCTCAAAAAAAAAACTAAAAAAATCACAATGGTAGCTCTGTGTGTTGCGCATTATTTAAGTATGGTATTTCGGGGTGCACTCTACCATAATTTGAGTTATGATGAGTTAAAATGAGAACATTACAAATATAAAAATTTTTTAAATTTTTTTTTCATACTTTTTTTGCAGTTTTGTAGCCCATTAAATTTAAGTATAACAAAGTGCAAGCTTTAAGCGATTGCCAAACTAACGGTTTTGCACATTTTCTTCCATAAGAAAAAAGTGCAAAAAGCCGTAAGCATAAAAAATATTAAAAATCAAAGCAATTTTGCAGTAGCTTAAAACTTGCACCTTATTATACGAAAATTTAATGTGCTACAGAACTGCATACTCAAAAAAAAAATCCCAAAAAAAAATGTTAAAAAAAAAATTTTAAATTTGTAATGTTCTCTTTTTACCCAACATCGGTGTAAAAAAAAAACAATTCATAACTGCAAATTTTTACCAAAATTTCAAACTTTTTATTCAGGATCTTTAGAAAAAAAATTGGTATGCAGTTTTGTAGCCCATTAAATTTTAGTATAATAAAGTGCGAATTTGAAGTTATTTATTATATGTTCTTTGTTAGACAGTGAACTAGGCTTTTATAAAAAAATAATATTAAACATTAAATAAACAAAAAATAATAAAAAAAATAAATTTGAAATTTAAAATTTAATTGGTGTTCCTAATACTTTTGGCCAGGCCTGTACAAATGCACAACAGCAGTAATCCTTGTAGCTGCTGCTGTTGGCTCATGATTAATGCATTTGCAATGCCCACATGACAGCTTGTAACCAAAATTGAATTTATACAAATCACAACAATAAAACAGCAGAAGAGACAAAAATGAGTAGGACAGTTTTGAGGGAAAAACTAGCACTATACATGTGCATATACATATATATAGTACATAGATAACAGACAGCCAATGACAAGCTGCAAATGCACACACACACAAACGTGATGCTTACATCGACTTAAAGCATTGAAGGTTCTGCTGCTTCAAAGTATTTAAGTGCTGTGTACACTTTTAGTAGATTTACACTGCTGGAAGGATTAAAATCAGTTGAGGTGAATCTGCGACTTTAAGTGAGCAGAAAATCAATAAAAAAAAACAAGTGCATATTGAAACAGCTGCCTGCCTGCAATCAAAATCCAAAAGTCATTAAATCACCGCCCCAGCCAACCATCCTGCTCCTCTGGGATATGCTGCGCTGCAATTTAAATCTAAAATTGCGTTTAAAAAATTTGTGACTCCCCAAAGTGGTTTGCCAACATTCCAGCTAGCATGCAACCTCGCAAATGTAAAGTTGATAAGCGCGCAGCTAAAACAACAAAAAATAACTAACTGCATAAAAAAAGAATCAGCTTAACGAGCAACTTTGCTTTACGAGCGGCAGCGGTGGGTCATTTGTACACCCGCCCACCTACCTACGAACATACGTAAATACATACATACAAAAATACTGAACAACAAACACATGTAAACAGGTATCGAAGTACATTTATAACAGTAATCATTGCATCATCCTTGCGCCACCCTTTCACCTCTGCAGTCACACTGACCGACAAACGAGTGGTCTACGTAAATTGCCCGGCCAAGTGCCAAACAGCTGACTGCATTGCGTCGCACGCTGGTCATTGGCTGCTACATAGCAGTCGCCACTAAGGGGTGGATCAAACAATTAGCTAAGTTTACGACTGGCATGGCAGCACCGGCAGTGTTGGCGGGAGGCGACAAAGGTGGCGAGTACGGTGACGGCAACAACAGACCTCAAATGGCCAAGTGCAGCCGGCAGGTTGCACACAATTTTTGTATTGATTTTATGGAGTTAAATAAGTGGGTTAAGCGGTGCAGCAGTAAACAATTGGCTGCAAACAAAAAAATACACAAGCCAAGTCAGAAAATGTGGAAAACACGAGTACTTGTAATAAATAGCTATAACGAGGTGGAAATTCAAAATGGTAGAGCAATAGGGAGTTGACAATGCAATTTGAAGGCAATTGGCTTTAGGGACGTACAAAGAGCGCAGTGCGTACAGTGTGTGCGATGATTGAAAGTACTATGGCCTTTCTTTTATTTTTCATAATATTACACTTCTTAGTTATATGTTTAGTATATACTGTATTATATATATTATATAATTATGATTAATTGGTTTTATTTCAAAATTTTTAAGATGGAGTAAAAACGTTGATTCTTTGACTTAGCGCAAAACAAATTTTAGGGGCTTTAAAGTGCGGCACAAAGACGGCAATAGTTGACGGGTATCCGACTATCGACCAAAGCCATGCATTATTTAGGTACTCAACCTCGTCGTACCGGCACAATACACATTAGTCTGTCAGCAAAAACAAAAGTTCAATGTCCAGATTTGACCCTTTTCGACTATTTGCTTTTTCAACATGCGAAAAAAAATAATACGGCAGTTAGGAAAGACACACCTGGAAACTTCGTTAGGAAATTGGGGGCGAAACTATTACGTACTCATTTTATAGGTAGTACCAGGTTGACCGAGCTTTGCCCGTAGTGAATATATGTACTTTTTAAAGTTTTCATTTTGGCAATAAACAAAAAAAAAAAATTGGATTTCGATATCTATTAAGTAAATTCCTTGCTTTAAAGTTTAGGTGGCAACCCTTTTCCCGAATGCGCTGGAATGAATGGTACATATCTTGAGCGTATATGTACTATGTATACATAAAAAAAAATTGCTGATTGAAATTAACAAAATAAAAATTGTTATTACATAGAAGCGTGGCAACGCTGATGGAAAATATTTTCGGACCAAAGTTCTCAACAATATCTTTGATTTGATATCCATATTGTGATGTTTAGATAAATTGTGTAAAATCGAAAATAAGTGGCAACTTTACAGTATTATCCTAAGAGATAATATTTTGTATAAGGGAAAGCATTGTTTAAGTACCTTCTCTTGGTGCCCATGAATAGTAATTTTTTTAATTTTTTTTTCTAAACAAAAAATTAAATAATATGTGATTCAAAATAGGTGGCAACCCTATTAAAAATATAAACGAGATGGATTTTTTAATTAAATTGCAACTAATTTCGAATAGGTGGCAACTTTATACGAGTCTTCTCGGAGAAACGCCTATTCAGATAACCTTAAAATGGATATATATATATATATATATATACAATAATTGCTCATTTAATGTAATAAGATGTATGTATCATCATTATGGAAAGGGATTAAGGTAATCTTCAAATCATCTCCTAAAGGGGTATAAGCTAATTACATAGACTCGTCGACTCTGACATTGGAACTATATATCTTAAGCAGTGATGGACACACTTAAGTAATTTGGTATTTAAGGTACCAGTTTGGATACCAGATATTCCGATACTAAGTACAGTATGCCTTCGGTAAAAGCAACCGGTAAAATTTCGGAAAGATGCGTTGAGTGAAGTTGTTGCAATAACAGACATGAGAATTTAAACCGGTAATACATGTATCAACAGTAAAATAATATTACTATGGTTAAACAGTAAGAGTCAAATATATTATTATGGTTATTAACAAAGCTGCAAAAGCTATTTAGACTTATAAAAGGTTTCGTGGTAAAATTAAGACCATGCGACATAATCATCTCTAATTTTACTGGCACAAGATTACAGATTATCAAAGATGGAACGCGGGATAGGTGCAAGAATTTTCATTGATAAACTCTATTTGGAGCTATCCTTTCCCCTACCGGATAATTTCCACGCGGAATTCTACGGTTGATGAGGC